CTTCCACTCTGCATATTGCTAAAGATTTTGGAGAATACAAAATATTTTAATTTAAAAAAACAATGGGCGTAATACGGAATAGAAAGATATAATTCATACGTAAAGGCTAATTTACATATGAAGTCAGGAACTGTTTTTTTTTATGTTTGTGGCTTTGTGTTTCTGTTTGTTTTGTTTTTAACAAGACACTGTTCTATTTTAGGCACAAATGCAATATCAAAACAAAAATATATTATAAGCTGCTTATGTGAATATCCCTTTGTAGAAAGAAAGGAAAGTACAATAAAACATACTTTATTAGACTCAGTTTTAGGTTTACACCTCTGTGTTGAAAATTATACTTTCTAGCAAAGATCCAATTAAATTTTCTTTTAAAGTGAAGCTTTATATCTCAAAGCATACAGTGTTGTTGAGGTAGCTTTGACATGCTAGTCTGGCAGCGATTTTCAGAAGTCGTGGTCTCTCCTCTACATGTATTCCAGTCTTATTTGAGAGCAGAAACATCTATTCTTAGGTTAGCACTGCTTAGCTGTATACCAGGAAGACATTTATTTCAGATTTTGATTTAACTGAATGCAGATCTTTCCAACAGTACATGCCAAGACAAGTTTTTTTTATCCTCCATTCCTGCTCTCCACCACCGATTCAGTTCAAGCCTCAGCAGTACGCGTTTGGACGAGTTTATATGTGTAAATGATAGTAGAATTGCCCTAGTTCTCTGGGAGGCCAAATGATGCTGGTAAAAGGGAGTAGAACTAGCTTTCTCGTCCTTGTGTGCCTTTAAGAAGGGTTTTTTTTCACATGTAACCTGAGGATAAATTAGTGGAGCTTGCTTCCAAGACGGAAACTGCAATGTCCCTGCTTCCTTGTATAACCACTGAGAGCAAGCGTCACTGAGATGCTCAAATTACTCCACCAAATACTGTGGTACATAGGTTTGAAATGAAATGCATGTTTCAAAAAAGAGGGATGAAATGGCTATGGATTCGTCTAACTCCAAGGTCATCTCTGGGACCTCTTACAGATCAAGCAGAAGGTGGGGATGAGGACTTTTTGTAATCTAATCTTCACAAAAGACTGCTTTCTCTGCTGAGCCAGAATGACTGCAAGGAGATGGCGAAGCACTGAGCAGAGCCACTCTCTTTGAGAGGCTGCCTTTATTTTAGGTGGGTGCATCTCCCGCTCTTTTCTTGCTTTCCAGCTCATCCTTTAATGTCTGTTTACTCAATTCGACTAAAAGTCAGCTCAACTAAATTGAAACAAAGTAGTCAAAAGATACCGTGGTCTGTTTACCAACTGGCAATTTTAAATTAAACCAGCTGTCCCATGCTTTCTGGCAGCCTTTAGTTTGCGTCTTCAAATACGTGTATCATTTTCTCAAAAGATTACTTTGAAATTTGCCGTTTGTGTGACCACCTTGAAAGGACTGGACTTTAAAACTCATTACTTCAGGAAGCTGGGAAAATATCAAAGCATTGCTAGAAAGTGAGGGATTTGTCTTATTTTGAAATTCTCCCACAAATCTGTAATGAAGTAGGGTAGAATTAGAACCTGGTGAGGCAGATTTTCACTCGTGAGCTGTCAAGTCTGTCTTTTTTAAATAAATAATAAGAAGATAACATAGACAGGCATGGCAATGAAAAGTACTATATTAATCTCCTTTCTTTTTTTCTAATTGCTTTTCTGTTTTTCTCTACTCCTTTCTATTCTTCTTCCTTTTAATTATTTTAATAAGGCCTAATTCTGGCTTCTTTCAGCATATCTGATGTAATGTTAAATTCTGAATGTAGTTAAATGCGTCCGTATGTGAATAATCAGTGTGTCACTGAGGCAACATAACATACGCTGCAGCTATTATTCCAACTTTGCTACGTGGTTGGTTTTAGAAAAATAATCTTAATTAATTCTAATTGTTTTCGTTCAATGGTATGGGTAATAATTGTGGGTAAGAATTTATTTTCAAAGTATATATTATTTTTCTGGAAAGAATTTTAGTAGAAAAGGAAGATTGTATTTTGAGAAATTCTTGGCATTTTTAAAAGTCGTAAGCGAGATAAACTACAATTAATTTTTCAGACATATGTATTGTTTGCTTTTCTGCAACATGAATTCTCTGCTAATCTTGTAATAAGTCTTTCAAACTTGAAACAATTAAATATTCTAGCTGCTTGTTAGAAAAGTCTCCTTAGAAGTTCCTGTTCTTTCCATAATGGAGCCAGGATGGTTTTTGGATCCTGGATATTTATAAATGTTAATATGTCAAAATCCAGAGTTTCTGAAGAACTAAAAACATGAGAAGGAAGATTGCTAGACCTAAGCCATTACTCACTGTGTTCTTTATATTTTATGGCTATATGATACGTGTAAGCTGCGTTAGTTGAACTACTGACCAGTTTATACTAGAATATGCTTATGCCCTTTTTCTCTCAAATCTAGAGCAGTTAGATAAGGAACTGTGGCCCTTGGAGAGCTCACACTGGAGCAGATTTTTCTGAACAGGAGGAGGAGCAGGCAGGGACCTTAACCCCCGATATCCTTCTGCAACTGGGGGACAGGTAAAGGAGTTAAATTGAGCCCAGGAAAAGATTTGAGAGAGGTATTGTTCTAATTTTTGTCTGTTTCTCACTATCCAAACACATTTTAATTAGAAATAAATTAAATTAACTTTTCCCAAGTCTGTTTTGCTCTTCATGGTATCTCATAAGTGATCTCCCTGTCTTTATCTTGACCCACAAGCTTTTTCATCCTGTTTTGTCCCCTTATCCTGTTGAGGAGGGGGGAAGTGGGTGAGCAGCTAGGTGAGTGTTTGGATGCTGGCCAAGGGTAATCCACCACACACTTGCATTCAGATTAATCAACATCTATTTTATCCAGATTAAATTATAATTCAGCATAAATTAATTTCTTAGGTTATATTTCTATTGCATATTCTAAAATGGTTAAATCCAATCTCATTTTATAGACTGTCTCTTCATTGCCACAAGTGACAGTATATGTTTTTTCCCTTTCACATAGAATGGTGGACGTCCTGTGCTTTTTCCTTTGTATTAATTCATAATTCTCTGGAAAAGATATAGGACAGAACCTCAGGGGCCCATAAGCTTGTCCTCGGGTTCTCCATGGTCACAGAGATAGGATCCCTGACTCTATTTCTATCCTTCTAAATCTTGTCCTTTCTTTGTGAAGCAGCAAGAAACTACTGAAGAATCTGTTCCAAAAATGCCATGGTTGTATGACTGGATGAATCTGCACTTTCAAAGATGATGGTAAGAAGTGTTGAATTTTGCTGTTTTATTGTGAGCTACATGTTGCATCTCTCAAGTAGTGTTTTGGCACAAAACATTTGTAAACCCTGATTTACCATACTTTTCCAGTTCACTTTGGAATATATGTAGAGAACCCTTCAGAGACCAGTTTGTAAAGAGCAGTTTAATACAGTTAACTTGCACTTTTTTCCAGATAGCATTCTTGAGTGTTACCAGTTCGTGGTGTGTCGGATACATGTGATTGTCTCCTTCTCCCTGCAAACTGTGGTGCAACTCCAAGGCTTAGATAAATTTCTGTAACATTTAGTTGCAAGCCAGAATTTGAAATTAGCTATTATGGAAGTCACAAAAAATTACCCAAAGCTACAGTATTTTCATTGTTCCAATATTTATATTTTACCTGTCCTTGCAGTTTGGAAGGATGGGATTCAACCCATTCAATTGAAGCCATTTAAAACGCATGGATCTAGCCTAAGCCAGTTGTCTTAAGTATTCTTTACAGAAGTAGATGAGGGCAGGGGGCACCTAGTCTCATGCAAGACACCTATCTTTTGATGGCTAAGTTCTCCTCTGGAAATGCTACCTCTCTGTCTGCGTTAACGTTTTATATAGCCTAAACAATCACTTTCAACCATGTATCTAACTTTTAAATGGCCAAAGGTACCCGCCATGCCATTTTTCACAATAGTTTCCAAGACTGTGAATCCATAATCAATCATAATCTTTCATTAGCTTTGGATTATTCAATTACACACTAACATTTTGTAAAGCTCACATGACAGTAAGCTATCTTTCTTCTATTTTTATAACCTAGGAGGAACAGTTGTAGCAATTGGAATAGCAGTTATAATCTTTACTTTAAATGTGTAACTTTTTAGCATGTTTTCATAAATGTATGCATTTGAAATAGAATATATATTCTACAATCTACCATACCTCTTATGTGTTCAGTACCCTGCTATTAGTATTGAAGACAATCGTATTGAAAGATTGACCGGTGTATTGTGTATACATATATATTAAAAAATATTAGAAGATTGATTATAATATTGGATTAACTTTATATTTATATTTTACATATATTCCAATATTTAAATATATATCTGAATGAGTTCTGTTCTGAGAAAATTATTATTGTAAATACTGCATTCATTAACTTTTACTTATTTCTTACTGTACATATCATACTGTGTTTATCTTAGGAAGAAAAGCCTGAAAATGAAATAATGAAATTTTTTTTTATTATATGAAAATTTTTACAGTTTATTCTAGAATAAAATAATGGAATGCTTTCAATAAAAATTTTTTAAAAAAGGAATCTTGAAGATTCAGAAGCCTGCAGATTGCATTTATCGTCATGTGTTACTGAGGAAAACACTTACAAATTAATTGCTCTTCTGACAAAATATCTGTCCAACTAAAAATTAGCTTTTGTGCATCCTCTCGAAGCTGCCAACATGACCTACTGTAGTGGATTCTTCTCCTCTCCTTGGAATTGTACCAAGAGAAATGTTTTCCTGATTGCCTCCATCTCTTTCACAGCAATATATTTTATTTTCTATTTTTTCAATTCTTATCACGTTGCTGCCCTAACTAAAATTAAAGTTCAAAACGACGATGACATAGAAGAAAAAGACATGCTTTTTACCAAGAGGTATGATAATCTTCAGATGGAAAGTGAAAATATTTTACATAAAAACATTACTTCAGTTTTCAAACAATTCACATGGGAAGAAAATGGAGAACTGCCAGCTGAAAATGAGACGTCTGGGAATAAAAATAGATCCACTTCAACACAGTCATTCAAATTCATTATTAATGAAAAAGAGAAGTGTAAAGATAAAACACCTTTCTTGATATTGCTAATAGCAACTACAGCTGCTGAAATTCCACACAGAAGTTCCATCAGAAGAACTTGGGGTAATGAATCTGTGGTTCCAGGAGTTGAGGTTGTTCGTTTGTTCATGCTGGGTGTTGAGAGCAATGGTCCAAATGAGATCCTACTGAGAGAGAGTGAGGAATATCACGATATTATTCAACTGGACTTCCTGGACACTTACCATAACTTAACTCTCAAAACTTTGATGGGCATGAAGTGGGTTGCCTCTTATTGCAGTGGCGCAAGCTTTGTTATGAAGGCAGACAGTGATGTTTTTGTTAATACAATATACCTCATAGAAAAGCTCCTCAGGCCTCGCTCACTTCCTCCACAAAATTATTTCACAGGCTATCTTATCAAAGGCAGTAAGCCTATTCGGGATAAAACCAGTAAATGGTACATATCAGAAGAAGAATACCCAGGTGACAAATACCCTATATTTTGTTCAGGAACCGGCTATGTCTTTTCTGGAGACCTGGCTTCAAAAATTCTCAATGCTTCTGTAACGATAAAATATATACATTTGGAAGATGTTTATATAGGGCTCTGCCTTAATGCAAAGGGAATACGGGTAGTACCTCCACCTAGAAATTCATTGTTTAACATATACAAGGTCCCATTTTCTCCTTGTCTGTACAGTAATATAATTACATCTCATTACATTCAGACAAATGAGCACATACTTTACTGGGAAACAATGCAGAAGAAGAAACACATGTGTCGGACAGGATAGAAAGGCCCATAATGGGGAGTCCTTTGTTTCTCTGACAATGGACAGAACAGTAGATGTTTTCTTACGGACTATCTATGCAGTGATAACTTCCAAGGTTCAGGGACATCCTAAATCACGGGTGTATTTTTTGTATTAGGTTGCATTTAAAGGATTTTTCTTCCATAAAGCAGGCTTTCTCTACTGACTGAATACTGCTTGGTACCTTATTTTGTTTGAATGAGGCACCAAATAGTTCTTATACTGTTTTAAAATAGGATAAGAGATCATGTCAACTATAATGAAGAAAAAGCAATGAAGATGCAACAAAACTTTGTTTTTCATTAACAAGTAATAGTAAGTTAATGTGTTAATTTTGTGTTGCTCAGATGGAATTGGTCTATGTACCATTACATTTACTCAGGTGGCATTTCTATGTGACTGAAGAAGAAAGCATACATGATATCCTAAGCTGGTGAATTAGTGATAGAAATATGGATGGAAACTGCTTTTTTTTTTTCAGAATATCTAGCAGTAGGATTTGCCAGACCTCTATTCGTGTGTGCAGCTGCTATTTCTCTCTGTAGTCATTTGCACAAAGAACCTCACACACAAGACATTGTAGACATATAATAAACAGGAGGAAAATTAAATGCTGATGGAGTATTTTGACAGGAACGTTATGTGGTACTCAGCCATGTACAAAATATCTTAGTAGCTAAGGAAAAAATAAGATGATGAGGAAAAAATAAGATGATGCTTAATAACCTCACAAGCTAGAAGTTTCAGTCAAAATGTCTATGTAAGTAAATTACTTTCCAGATTTCTCTCCAACCAAGAATATAAATTTTCTGCTACTCCCAGTACGAATTAAGAGACCTTTACGGTAATTACTGAGTGGGCCAACTGGCTGGATTAATTGAATAGCTAGAAAAAAATACCTGTACATTTGCAGGAAGCTTATCAGGTGAATGTGGGAATCAAAATGTCAATCACTTAAATACCAAATAGTTCAGCCAGAGCTGAAGTGAGAATACAACATACGCATCCCCACTGTCATTTTATAAGCATACATTGTGATGTTTAATAAAGAAATCTAATTGAATTATATGTCTTCCTGTGGAGAAAATAACTCTTTTCTGCAGTTGCTCAGAGAAATCCAAAATATATTTCCTTTAGTAAATTCACCTATAGAAACCAAAGTTATGGACTGAGTTTCTTTTTTTGCTCTTGGTAAGCAGGTTATTTCTATGTGCTGTCTACTGAGTCCGAAGATTTGAACTGTTTAGAGAGAGTCCAAAGGAGAAAAACATGCATTACCAGGAGTCTTGATTAAAATAACCAACAATGAAAACCTGAAGAAGCTTTTCTCTATGCTATCTTCTAATTCAAGGTTATGTTACACTAAGATGCCAGCAGTAGGTTAGCTGACCTGCCATGGGATAGGGGTAAGGATTAGATTGTACTTTTCATCCTTGCAACAAGAGAAAGCCCTGGGCAGCCTGTTCTGAGCTCACAGCTACCCCTGCTTTGAGCAGAGTTTGGAGACCGGAGACCTCCTGATCTTCCTTTCAAACTGCATCATCCTGTGATCCTATGATTGTATGACATTATATGATTACAGGAACTTATCTAAAGCATGCTGAGATTCTGAGTGATTGCAGTGGCATTTGAACAAGAACTAAGACACACCCCAGGAATAATTATTCTCACTGAGAAAGGACTTGCTTCCAGATGCTATCTACTAGAGCTGACAATACTTGCTGATGCAAATTTTGCAACTAAGTCCAAAAAAGAGTGTATACTTGGAGAAGTTTATTGAGTGTGTCAAATTGCCGTGCTTATTATGTCTAAGCAGTTAGAATAATGTGGACTCTAACGAACAGGCACCGGAAAGTGAGAACAAGCCGTTAAATACAGCTTTGTTTCTGCAATAGGACCTAAGCACTTTCAAAACATTTTTATCTGTCCCCAGAACAATAAAGGCTCCTAAAAAGTGAGTGAGATTTGATTCTACACTAATCCTGGTACAAAAGCACTTGAAATTCAAGTTTATATTGTTGTGTTTTGGAGAAATCTTTATTTTGGAAATTGCCCTGTGTAAGACATGATGCTGGTCCTTTAAGGCTGGCTGCAGACACAGGTGAGTCTTCAGATTGGAGTGATTTAACAAACAGTCGTTGCAGAGGTTGTGGTACCTGTGGGAGAGGTTTGAGTTGCATAGTCTTCTCTCTTCTGGACTCATCTTAAGTCTTAATTATGTTAGAAGCACTCTTACTGCTGTGGGTGGAAGAATTCTGGAAAAATAAATTTTCTACATCAGGTTCCTGCATTCAGGTAAGGCTAATCTCAGGAAATACAAGCCCAAAAGGATTACTCCTTTCCAGTTCTGATGTTGTCTGGTAAAAATTCAGTATGTTTTGTATCCAGAAATAATTTAAAGCTATGCCTTAAAAAGCGAACTGATAATTGGATTTTGTTATTGCCTCTGTGCTTGCTGGCGTGTTCTTTACTGTTCTGCTTGTCAGAACTAAAAGAAGTGGTATTTTAGATTTGTTGCCTTAATCTTTATTTTAGGGACTTCTGTACTTTAGAAGCTGTTGGAGAAGGGTATAAAACTTTAGGCTAAGTTTTATCTGATTTAGAACAACCATTTGTGTAGTTCTGTGTAGAGAGATATTCCCTTCAGCCATTCCCTATTCAGTGCAGTTTGTTTTTTTTAATGGATGTATTCATTCCAGGTATAGAAGAAAAAAAATACCAGTGCAATCAGATTAAAAAGTGATCTCTTGCTTCAGATATTATATTGCTTTGCACTCATACTTGAGGTTGTTTTCCAAACATTTGCATAACATTTTCAGATTACTAGAGAACTATTCTTATGCTGCAATATATTCCTCTTCCTCTAGGCATATGAATAAATTATTTGATGAGGTCAGCCTGAAAACTGAAGTTGCTTGATACAGAGTAGTATTTTACATGTCCCAAACACTGCAAGAGCATAGCAAAAGTGTAGCAATTGTCAAGTATACTGAGTGCCTTGAAGGTTCTGTTTAATAAAAAAAGCTTGTACTTCACTTATCATAGTTGATTGGTCGTCAGCTGTATTGAACTATTTTATGTAAATTCACAAATTCCTTAAATGCTTTTAGAAAACGTTTATTGCTTCTACCTTCAAGCAATGGTGGCTGTGCAAACAGTAGCTCTTCAGATGGTAATAATGAAATTATACTAGTTGTGGAAGTTGTGGATTATACTTAAAACTCGTGTAGCTGCAGTATTGTTAGTGATAAATGTTTTAAAGAAGTCAAATCTGTAACAAGAGGGAAGGTAAATAAAGCATCTGTGTCTGTTTCTAGCCATAATTTGTACCTTGATGTAGTCTTGTCTTTTTTTTAAAAAAAAAAACAAAAAACTGGTAATAAGGAAGCTCCATATAGTGATCTAAGGACTTTCCAGCAGAAACACCCCCTGTTACATTCAAAGTACTCAAGGTCATGTCTTCACTGCCCAGTCAAGCTAAATGGAGGAGGGAGGGGGGAACTAGGGAAACTACACCTATCACCTGGTTGCTGGGGTGTGAAGCTTCTCTGCATTTGATGCAGCTGGGCTGCACTGGCCAGGTAATCTGCACAGAGAAATTTAGCCTAGTAGTGGGAATACTTAGCACCTGAGAAGAATTTGTGGGACAGATTGTAAGCAGTTACAGCTGCTCTGGATTTTGTATGTCTTTTGTTTTAGAATAGTGCCCCTTGGCCTTGGGAGAAGAGGGTTGCGATGGGGGCAAGACCTAAGTGATTTGTAAGCATTGCTCAAACTGCTTCTGGGACAATTCTCTGGGGTTAGAACTGGCACCTTACCCAGGTGTACAGTGTATGATTTCCTTCAAAAGGACTAATGTCCTACAAGAGTTTCCTGCCACCTACTTGCTGGTATGTAGAAGACCCATCTGGTGACTTGTAGTTCCTGAGGCCTCAAAACATTCTTCTGATGAAAAGTTTCTGCATTTGGTCACATCTTTATTTTTGGTTTTCCATTTCATTATTTGCTGTAATTATGTTGAGCTTTTTGTCTTCCTTTTTTTTTCCCTCATAATTTATACGTGTGTATATACTTTTGTGGGGTGTTTTTAACAGATGTTTGCAGCTTACAGACAGGTACTGATGCCGCCTTCTTATTCTAATAATAACTGTTTCTAGACATTTTTATATCAAGCCTCATCCTGCATGTGTGGTTGGAGAACAGGCCATAAGACAAATAGCAAGGCAGGAGCCTGCAGGTAAGCCTCAGGGAATACCTGATTCTAGACTCATATCTAAAAGCTGGTGGAATGTAGCTTTCCTTTGTTAGAATTTCAGTGATAGTGTGTGCAGCCTCTGTGAGAAACTTCAAGCTCATTAGCAGTGCTGCTTTGAGCTCTGCTTAACTAACTGTTGACACAAACAGAACTTTATATGCATTAAGAAAATTGTACTATTTTTGTACCAAAAGGTTTGGTTTTGCTGAAATGGGGATTACTTTGTCAGGCAGTAGTTGGCTTTGATATGAATTTAGATAGATAACTTACTAACTTTCTGGTTAGCATAGAGGGATATGGGTATATTTTAAATATAAGAAGATTTCTAATGTTTATTCCATCCTGTCATTGTCAACTGTCTAACTGTAAGGAGCATCTATGAATAGTATATCTGAACGCCTTATACAGGCAGCCGAGAGTAAATCCTGAAGCATAAGCAATATATGTTCTCAATTAAAGCATCTATCTAGAGACCAACGGTGTGCCCCAAAACTGAGCAATTAAAGCTGGCATTGGGGAAAGCTGTTATGGTAGACCATTCCACAGTTGGTCTGAAGCACTAAAAACATGTTTCCTGTGTCACTATCCCCAAACAGGACAGTGAGCTTGCAAATGTGTCAGCTGACATAGGAGCAGCAAATACAGTCTTGAAAGTTGTATTAGACCAACTCAATCACAACTGTGGAACACTCTCCTGGGTAAGAACCTTTGCAAAAATGAACTTAAA